AAAAAATCTGGGAATTCCATCCCAAAAAATCTGGGAATTCCATCCCAAAAAATCTGGGAATTCCATCCCAAAAAATCTGGGAATTCCACCCCCAAAAAAATCTGGGAATTCCATCCCAAAAAATCTGGGAATTCCATCCCAAAAAATCTGGGAATTCCATCCCAAAAATTCCCACTGGAATCTCCATTTTTCCCAACTGAAGCCACACAGATCCTCTGGGAATTCCATCCCAAAAATCCGGGAATTCCATCCCAAAAAATCTGGGAATTCCATCCCAAAAATCTGGGAATTCCATCCCAAAAATCTGGGAATTCCACCCCAAAAAATCTGGGAATTCCATCCCCAAAAAAATCTGGGAATTCCATCCCAAAAAATCTGGGAATTCCATCCCAAAAAATCTGGGAATTCCATCCCAAAAAATCTGGGAATTCCACCCCAAAAAATCCCACTGAAATCCCCATTTTTCCAACTGAAGCCACACAGATCCTCTGGGAATTCCATCCCAAAAAATCTGGGAATTCCACCCCAAAAATCTGGGGGTACTACCCCCCAAAAAATCTGGGAATTCCATCCCAAAAAATCTGGGAATTCCATCCCAAAAATTCCCACTGGAATCTCCACTTATTCCAACCGAAGCCGTTCCCTGTCCCCTGTCCTTCCCCAGCTCATTCCCTTCTCCAGCCTGGCCATTCCCAGAGGGAAATTCCCCACTCCAAGCCTCCAGCCGAAAAGGAAAAGTCGGATTTGGGAATTGTCACCCCAAGGGCAACACCCCCAGAGCCCAAATCCCGCAATTAACACATCCAGCTAATTATTCCCTCTGGATTCATTTCCTGATCCGGCTCCTGAGCGGGGCAAGGAGGAAATCGCGAATCCAGGAGGAATTTTCAGGGATCACCTGCCCGGCAAATTCCTGAGTGGAAAAACAACGGGGGAAGGATTTGTGTCCGGAAGGAAGGAGAGAAGTTAAATCCCTTAATCGGGATCCGGGCAGGGAAAGCCGGGATAAATCCAAGCTCCAGATTTTTGGGATGGAATGGGATCGGCATCTCCCAAACCTTCAGCGAGTTTCTGCTGCAGGAAAGGGTTTGGGAATCCCTGGGATGTTCCAGGAGCTGCTCTGGAGATTTCCAGGGAGGAAAAACCTTGGGAAAAGACCCTGGGAAAGGGAAATCCCACCTCAGGGCTTTCCACATCCCATTCCAAGCTCCCTTTTCTTGGGAAAAGACTCTGGGAAAGGGAAATCCCACCTCAGGGCTTCCCACATCCCATTCCAAGCTCCAGATTTTTGGGATGGAATGGGATCGGCATCTCCCAAACCTTCAGCGAGTTTCTGCTGCAGGAAAGGGTTTGGGAATCCCTGGGATGTTCCAGGAGCTGCTCTGGAGATTTCCAGGGAGGAAAAACCTTGGGAAAAGAGCCTGGGAAGGGCAAATCCCACCTTGGAGCTTCCCACATCCCATTCCAAGCTCCCTTTTCTTGGGAAAAGAGCCTGGGAAAGGGAAATCCCACCTTGGAGCTTTCCACATCCCATTCCAAGCTCCAGATTTTTGGGATGGAATGGGATCGGCATCTCCCAAACCTTCAGCGAGTTTCTGCTGCAGGAAAGGGTTTGGGAATCCCTGGGATGTTCCAGGAGCTGCTCTGGAGATTTCCAGGGAGGAAAAACCTTGGGAAAAGAGCCTGGGAAAGGGAAATCCCACCTCGGGGCTTTCCACATCCCGTTCCAACCTCCCTTTTCTTGGGAAAAGAGCCTGGGAAAGGGAAATCCCACCTCGGGGCTTTCCACATCCCGTTCCATCCTCCCTTTTCTCGGGAAAAGACTCTGGGAAAGGGAAATCCCACCTCGGGGCTTCCCACATCCCGTTCCATCCTCCCTTGTCGGGAGCCCAGCAGCCCTGGAAGTTCCTGGAACTTCCCTGGAAGTTCCCAGCTCCAGGGAAAAATCCCGGAGGAAGGAGCCAAACCCAAAATCAGGGGGAGCCCGGAGATTTTTCCAGCAGCCTCGGGGGCGAAAAACAAGGAGCAAGGAAACATTCCCAGCACGGGAAAACTCCCAGGAAATCCGGGATTAAAGCTCGGTGCCCTCCCCTTTTGCCTCTCATTCCCTCGGGATCGTGGGATTCCCCTGGAATCATCTCTGGAGATGCAAAACCCACCGGAATTTCACTTCCAGCCACCTCCTCACCCTTTTTGAACTCCTCCAGCATGGCGTCCAGCTTGGTGTCGTGGAAGACCACGTGCACGGGGTGGTTGTAGAACTTGGTGATGGTCTTGAGGGGCGTGCAATCATCAGGATCCACAAAAGCCAGGTCCTTGACGTAGAGGATGTCCATGATGTTGGACCTCTCGTCCTCGTAGACCGGGATGCGGGTGTAGCCGCTCTCCATGATCTCGGACATGGTGTTGAAGTCCAGGATGGCGTCGCTGTTGATCATGAAGCAGTTCTGCAGCGGGGTCATCACGTCCTCCACCGTCTTGGTGCGCAGCTCCAGCGCTCCCTGGATCATGTTCAGCTCCTCCCTCACCAGATCGTTGTAGGGCTCCGTCACCTTCAGCATCTCCACCAGCTTCTCCCGGTTGTAGACGGTGCCGATCTCCTGGCCCAGGACACAATCCAGCAGCTTGCTGATGGGGAAGGACAGCGGGAACGTCACCAGCATGAAGAACTTGGTGACCACGATGGTGTTGGCGCCCACGGCCAGCCCGTGCCGGGAGCAGAGCGCCTGCGGCACGATCTCCCCGAAGATGACGATGCCGATGGTGGAAGCCACCACGGCGCCGATGCCGGAGCCGATGAGATCGTCCAGCAGGATGGTGAGGGTGGTGTTGACCAGCACATTGCCCAGCAGCAGCGAGCACAGCAGGTAATTCCCTTTCCTCCGGATGGGCTCGATCCTGCGGGCGTAGCGCTTCTCCTTGTCCGTCCCGCAGTTCTGCACGATGCGCAGCTCCATGGGATCCAACGCCATCAACCCCAAATTGAGCCCGCTGAACATCCCCGACAGCACCAACAACCCCGCGATCAGAATCACCTGCAACCACAGCGGCAGCAGCGATTTCTTCTCCTCCAGAACCACCACATGTCCATCCAGCCCTTGGTGCGGCAGCCAGGGCTGGCCGGGCCGGCGTTGAGAGCACAACACGTAGGTTTTGGCCCGCTCGTCCTTGCGGAGGGGCTGCACCCTCACCCGGAGCAGCGCTGAGGTGTCGCGGGGCTCGGCGGGCCCGGGCCGCACCACCAGATCCTGCGAGCGCTCCTGGCACGTGGCGTTCCCGCTCGAGGCGTTGCCTCCCGGCCGTAACTCGGCGAAAGCCACTCGTTCGGCGGCGCCGGGGCCTAAGCCCAGCCCGTAGAGCCGGAGCAAGGCCTCGCTGCCTTCCGTCAGGCGGATGGGCCCGCGGGCCGCCCCCGCCGCCGCCGCCGCCTCCTCAGCCGGTTTGGTGCTCTCCTCCAGCCGCAGCCCCAGCACTACGGTGTCGGAAGCGGGGATGGCGCCGCAGGGCAGCGCCAGCAGCAGCAGCAGCAGCAGCAGCGGCGGCGGCAGGAACGGGCCCGCGGATAACGGGGTCCCCTCACAGCCGCCGCTGCCGCCGCCGCCGCCGCCCGCCGCCATGTTGGGCACTGGCGGGAGCGTCACGCACGGCGGAGGCGCCCACGCGGTGACGTCACGCGCGAGGGGCACGCCCCCCCGGGCCACGCCCCCCGGCTCCGGGGTGGTGACGTCACTATGGACACGCCCTGAAGGGGGGGTGAGTGAGGTCACGCTGGTGGTGACGTCACATGGAGAACACAGCAGAGGGTGGGACGGCCTTGCCACGCCCCAGAAGGAAAAGGCCGCGCCCTCAGCGGTTACGTCATACAGAGAGGCGTTCCCCCCCCCCACGTGGCGTCGTCCCATCGGAGAAACCCCCAAAAGGTGACGTCACACACAGGTCACTCGTCTGGCCCCACACCCTCGGTGAGACCTTTGATGTGACGTCACACCTCTGAGCTCCGCCCCGCGGCAGGGAGAAGGGATCGTGAGAGGGGGAGCAACCCTGCGGTGACGTCACCAAACAGACCACGCCCACGCCTAGGGAGTCACACGGCCGGGCACGCGCCCCTGGGGGGGGGGAGGGGGGGCGAATACGGACACGCCCCGTGTGACGTCACAGATACGATTGTGCCTAATTATAATCTACGTGACCACGCCCCCACGGGGAACTCATATATGGCCACGCCCCATGTGACGTCACCCGAGTGACCACGCCCACTCCGCGCCCCCGGGGGCGTCACACTCCTGGCCCCGTCCCCCCCTAAGCCCCGCCCCTTAAAGGGGCCGGTGGCGGCCTGGCTTTGGGGGTGTCCCCGGGGAACGGGACCCGGCGGGGGAATCTGTGGGAACACCGGGATCCGGCGGGAATCAGGGTCTGGGCAGGGGGATCTGTGGGGACCTCGGGGTGTGCTGGGAATCTGGGGGAATCTTCTGGAGCACCAGGATTTGGGGCGGCACTGAACTTGGAGCAAGCAGTTAAGAGGTGGAGGGGACTTGGGGTGGCACCGGGACCTCAGGGGGTGGCACCGGCACCTCTGAGGGTGGCACCGGGACCTCTGCGGGTGGCACCGGGACCTCAGGGGGGGGCACCGGGACCTCAGGGGGTGGCACCGGCACCTCTGGGGGTGGCACCGGGACCTCTGCGAGTGGCACCGGGACCTCTGGAGGTGACATCGGGACCTCAGGGGGTGGCACCGGGACCTCTGGAGGTGGCATCGGGACCTCTGCGGGTGGCACTAGGACCCGGCAGAAGGAGGTCACCCAGCTCAGTGGCGGCTGCCATCTCCCGGCTCCCGAACTACATTACCCATCAACCCCCAGTTGACAGACAGCTCACTTGACCAATCAGCATTGATACTTCCCCCAAGGGGCGGGAAGAGCGGTGCGGATCAACCAATGAGCGCGCGGGGCGGGCCGCGGCGCGGCGGGGGAAGATGGCGGCGGCGGGCCGGTGGCGGACCGGGCTGGCCCTGCTGGCCGTGGCGCTGGGGCTCGGCGGGACGGGAGCCGAGCAGACCGAGGAGCACCTCAAACGCGAGCACTCGCTGTCCAAACCGTACCAGGGTGAGCGGGGAGGGCAGGGCGGTGGTGGCGGACGAGTGCCCGGTGCCCGGTGCCGGTGCCCGGTACCGACGGTTCGTGTGGGCCGCAGGTGTGGGCTCGGTCAGCTCGGGGCTCTGGGACCTGCTCGGTAACGCCATGGTCATGACGCAGTTCATCCGCCTCACTCCCGACGTGCAGAGCAAGCACGGAGCCGTGTGGAACCGAGTGGTGAGCGGGGGGCACCGGGGAGAGGGGCCGGGAACCGGCATGGACCGGGG